TATCGCCCGCAATTTTTAGACCGCTACTACAAAAAATAAATTTTTTATGTCAGAAAAAGTCTTTTTTTTTGAAAAACGAGCGTTTCATAAGTATAGGTTCACCCCCGGAAAATTTAACATTAACAAAGTTTTATTCAATTCAATACTTTGTGGGCTTTCCACCAGTGGAAATAATATTTTACAAGCGGTTTGGCATGGAATTTAACAACTTCTGGAGGTAAGGCTTCTTCAGGTTCTTCCATGCGTCCACGATGGCAGTTTGGAGCTCAGAAACGGTCTGGTATTGCTTTCCCTGACCATATACGACGCGCACGAGTTCAGCCCAAACATTCTCCATTGGGTTCAAATCCGGCGAACAAGCCGGCCAATCCATCACCTTGATTTTTTCGGACTTGAACCAGTCCAAAGTCGATCTGCTCGCATGAATCGAAGCATTGTCCTGTTGATATGTGAGCTGACGCCGATGAAAACGGCGAAGATATGGGATCAGTTTGGCAGTCATGACATCCTGATAGTCTGTCGAGTTCATTCTGAAGGAGACGAACGCCAAATCCACAGTACCGGCAGAAGAGAATGCTCCCCAGACCATAAGACGACCACCACCGAAGTTACGCTTGGAGAAATGGAGGGGATCCTTCTTCAGGTCGTGCCAGTAACTGTTGAAGCCGTCCGGCCCGTCCAGATTGAACTTTTTTTCATCGCTGAAGATGATCTGTAATAGAAAACAGCATAAGTGATGATTTCAAAAGCATTCCATACCTTATCCCAATCAGTTGCCATGTTGTTCCTTGCAAACTGAAGTCGGTTCGCCTTGTGAGCATCGGTGAGCATCGGCGCGGACATTAACTTGGCTCGGACAATGTTCTGATTGCTGTCCAGTGCTCTCCAGACCGTGGACTTGCTCACGTCCAGTTTCAGCTCATTCTTTATGTCGCTACAGCTCTTCATCGAATTGGATGCCAGTCTGATGATGCTTCTCGTGTCTCGATCCGTCAATTTTTTCGGAGCTCCGCTCTTCTTGTTGGTCTCGTAGTGGTCCGGATTGTTAACAAACGTGTTAATACAATTGAAAGACCGTCCTAACCTAGCTGCGATGCGCCGATTCGACCATCCAGCCGTTTTGAACGCGTCGATCTGAGCTCGCTCCGAATCCGAGAGATGAGTGGCTCGCGGCATAAGAAAAACGAAGTAAAAGACGCAAAAATAGTTAAAAACAGTAAAAATAGTTAAAAAGTTATCACCTATGTGAAACTGTAATTTTTTTCAAGGGTGAACCTATACTTATGAAACGCTCGTTTTTCAAAAAAAAGACTTTTTCTGACATAAAAAATTTATTTTTTGTAGTAGCGGTCTAAAAATTGCGGGCGATATGTATTTTTACATGGACTTTAATATTATAACAACCCCAAACCTCCAAGATTTCCCACCTTGTCTACCGAGGGTGAACCTATACTTATGAAACGCACTGTATTAGAGGTTTTACGGTAATTTTGGATCCTGAATCTGATTTCGTAATACCCAATATGAAGACGTTGACAGTTCTCTCGTGGCAGTCAAAAATAGGGTGTACCTATAAACTTGCAACGCACTGTATAAATATGAACAAGTTTAAATTCTGAAACAGTAGTTTTTTTATTCTTTAGTTCATATTTTGGAAATTCGCAATCTTTTGGTACCTCCAACCTTTTGAAGTGGCACAAGTTTTGGAGGGTACAACCATTTTGGGGTCATTGGGGTACACAGCAATTTAGAGGTGCAAAATCTTCAATTCGGAGGTACAAACTGCCTGAAAAATTTGGTACCCCTGAATCGCTTTGTACCCTCGTTGTACCCTCCGAATTATGTGCCTTTTGAGGCCTGGAAGATGGAGACGCAGACGACGAGCCTCTCTCGCTTCTCTGCGTCTCTGACTTCCGCGACGCAGAGCTACAAGAGCTAAGCATATTTTACTGAAAACAATAATATTTACCGTCCGGTGTTGACAACTTTGATAACGTTAGCCAATTTTGAGATACCCGCCTTTATAGTTCAGTTTTAGGTGAGAGACAAGAGACACGCCAAGAAAAGATACAGTCAGATTGATCAAAAAAAATTATTGCGATCAGAATAAGAAATTTTGAAACAGAAAAAAAAGTTATGCTTGTACCCCTTGTAATCCAACCTAATTTCCCTGATTTTTTCCTAATCAACACTTCCAGAATCACCCGGTGAAAACTACATTGAAATCCTGACTGCCCTCTACAAAGTGTCCGTCGTCCGGCGTCGAATGTTCTACTGTAGTGGTTCCCTTCGAGAAATGCTCGGACAAACTGGCTTAGTAATGATTGTACTAACTTCGACGCCCGTTTCATCAGCTCACCTTGTTTTCAGAAAATGCGACCGACACGATTCGACGAGAGATATTATAAGGAGAAGATGCGATTCGAGTTGATCCTCTATGTGGAAATGATGAATTCACTGAGCATTTTTCGAGATTTTGATTTGGACACGAAAGAGTCGTTGATAAAACAATGTGCGGTTTCGTTGGCAATGTTGGAGAAGTATTATATTTCAGTGAAGAATGATGGATTGAAAACGCAAAAGTGAGGAGTTTTGATTTTACTTAAGGACAACTGCCGCACGACCGGCCGCGGCCGGCTGCTACCATTGCTGAGCATTTTTATGCCCCACCACCTGTAAATTAAAAGTGGTGGAGTATGAAATGTTTTCTGGAAGTTTTAGATGAACGTTATCTTTAAGGAAACATTCTTCGAGGCAGTGAACTCCGAGAGAAAAACTCGAAATTTATTTCTGTTTCAATGAACTTTTAGGTATAAACTCTTAGACCTCATTACAATGAACTGGCTACCGCGATGAGATATAATCCCTCATAAATTCTAAGCTAATTAACTTTGAACAAAGTGATCGCAAAATTTAGTTCTTACTCACTTTCGGGATTTTTCTGAAACAGTTATCAAAGAATGCGATATTTCAACTCCATGAAAACCACTGTCACTCCTCTTTCAAAACACTTGGTTCCTAAACAAAATTGCTGTTTCGAACATTTTTCGTAAAAATTGAATTTGTTAAATTACCAATTAGGGCTAGCTTGACCCTAGCCCGACTTTTGAGTAATGGGAATAACAGCATAATCAGAATGGTTTTTTTTGCTCATGGCCGACTTTTGCCTAATTCGTATCATTTTCATTTTCTTTCTACACCTTAAAAATAGAATACCAACTGTCCCGTTTAAAAAAAAAAAATTTTTTACAGACTTATCGCTCCTGATGGCTCTTACACCGATTTGTCAGACGACGGAGCTCAGTTTGCCGAAGAGTTCCAAACGATGAAAGATGATCAAGTGATGGATAAGAATCAGTGTCTAAATCTCCTCTACAACCCGTTGAAAGTCTGTCTCAACGAACTCGGCACCGCATTGGAGCACTCAAAAATGACGGACACCGAGTTTTGTGCTCTTTTTGCAATTTTGTTATTCAACACAGGTGAGGCAGGTTTCAAGTCCTGTCTAGAAGATAAGAAGGTGTCAGTCAAAAGTGCAAGTGTTTTTGAAATTTTCAGCCGCTGATAACATCACTGATAGTGTCCGAAACGCGGTGATGATGGCCAGAAATCGGGTGATGAAGGATTGGTTCGAGTTGTATGCAAAACAGGGAAAAACGCCTGAAGAGGTGGGGACATGAGAGAGCTCGGGATAAAAGATGGGATAGAACAATCGTAGAACTAACATTTTTAAATACTCAATCACAGGTAAAATGCGAACGGGTCG